ACATATCATATTGTTGCATGAAGAGGCCATGCAAGGGACCTGTCCCCTTACGGAGGGTGCTTGCCCAAGCCGGTTCGTCCACTATTATACTCAACAGGTCATTACCCAACATTTCATATCTCGCTGCTTCAATGAATGCATCCCCACTCACTTGGTGTTTAGCTCCTCCCCAGTCTACCCATTTTGGTTCTCTTGCATGTTGGTCTCAGGACAATTCCCACTGATCTAATGTTTTTATTGCAAAGGTCATCAACTGATGGGCATAATACCCAGTTAAGGTAGGATTTAACATCGTATAGGCTTGGGCTGTCTTATAGCATTCTCCCAGAAAAATTTTAGCTAGCGCTGCCTGTGATTCTTGAGAGGCGAAAAATTTATCCAATCCTTGGGATGCTACTCTGCTAGCCCACAGTTCCCCGCTTTCCTTGGGATCTTTTGTCCAAGTGGCTAGCTCAGTGTGGAGGTCGGTTGGCTTCCAAGCAACCACCTCCCACTCCTGTCCAGTGGGCTGGCTGTTAGGCTCCTGATAGACCCTGGATTTCACCACTGCACTTACCTCTGGCTTTTCCGGTGGAGTTGTCTCTACCGCTGTTCCCGCAGGAGGAGGGGAGGTCGGCCGGTCATTCTGATCCCCAAACAGGCTAATCACCGCCACCTCTTGCCCCTCCTCTGCCTTTGGATCCTCTAAGGGCTAGACTTCCACCAGATCCCATAACAAAGAGATGGAGCCTTCTAACAATGCCGTCGTCCCAGGTTTTCTGCCTGTCTGCCGCTGGGCAAAAACTCCCTTTACCGCGGCAAGGGACCTGAGGTCCTTTACTTTGGAGGGGGACCACAGATGCACTTTCTTACTAAGTTCAGAGAGACTCATGGTTTTCACTCAGCATGTGAACATGTTTCCCACTCCTTGAACCCAGCTGGCCAGGCCATCTCAAAGAGGGGTCTTCTTTGCTCACATTCTCCACCACTTGATAGGGGCTCCCTCTCTTCCTAGCAGGGATAGGTGAGTAACCCACAAATCACATGCCAAGTAAAATCCAAGTGCCACTCTTTATTATGAAGAAAAATCAATAACACACAGAGAAATCATTACAACAAGCTTCTGAGCTGCAAGCACGCCAGGCTGGAGGAAAGGCACTCCACCTATCCCCTGTTATTACCTGATAGGTCTTGGGAACCCCACCCTGCATCCAGGGTGGTGAGACTGCCTCCTTTATTGGGTCCTCAGCCTTGTCCTCCCCGAAGCAGTTCCACTTGGGACCTGACTCTCCTCATCTTAAGTACCTTTCCTCTCCTCGTTATCTTCCCCGGGGGGGAGTTCACTGTTAGCCTCACTGCCTTTTCTGGGATTAGAGCCAAACTGTTATCTCATTTTTGCAAGCAGTTATTTTTCAAATTTAGAATTGCTGTCTTAGCATCCTGCTAGGCCCGGGACTTTCCAGGCCAGAGGGTCGGTTTAGGGCAGTTCCCCTTTTCTGTATTAACAAATGGCAACAAATGCATTAGGTCATAGCCTCCGGGTTCCGCGAAACTGACCCCCCTCTTCGGGGTGTCAGGTTGGCCTCCTCGCAGAGGCCTATTTGCGCTAGGCCTGGTTTGGCCCTGACAATGACCTCTGGAGATCCCTTCCAGGCCTACTTCTCTATGATTCTGTGAGTGTTTTACTGAACTGAAGACTACAAGGGGAGTCTTAGGTAGGCAGAATGTTTGTCACAAACACATGCACAAAACTGTATCCCAGCATGCACTGAAAGGGAGTTGGTAATCTGTTTTCATTATTTCCATTATAATTATCCAGTGGAAGCTTACCCAGAAGACCAGGGCTAAGAAAATGTTACAGAGAGTGTATAGTTTTTACCACTATGGTAATGTACTTTGTCAGAAGATGTAAAGTATCAGAAAACTAATGAGCTGACCATGAGTTTGGCCATTAATATTATGTTTTGCCATGTCAAATTTCCATGTATATTTTGCAAATTAAGAGGGAATGGGTAGTCAGTGCCTTTGGAGATGAGAAATGATTTGTGTCCCACAGGAAAAAATTCTCCAGAGACTAGGTAATTAAGAAACAGGAGCTCCAAATAGAATTACTATGTGATTTTTTAAAAACTTTTATTTATGTTTACAGGATCACAAAGTAGAAGAATTTATCAATTCCCCACTTTATTCTGTTTTGATAATCAGTTATGAGATGCTGCTGCGTTCTTTTGACTTAATTCAGACTATAGAATTTAACCTCTTAATCTGTGATGAGGGGCATCGTTTGAAAAATAGCTCCATTAAGACTACTACAGCTCTTGTCAATCTGTCCTGCGAGAAGAGAATTATTCTTACAGGTAAGTATATTACGAATAATACAATAACTTACAGTTAAACTAAAAGGGCCAACTTTGGTAAGTGAAAGAGAATGCCAGTTGTGCAGAAATGTAGCATGAAATTTCTGGCAACAGGTGCTAGGCATGTAATCTGTCTCACAAAATGGGGGCCTTAATCTTAAATAGATTACTTTAAAGCAAAAACAAGATAGCAAAAGTTGTCCAGTTTTTTAGGCCAGTCCAGCAGTTTAGAATCTGTTATATGAAGAATCTGAGGCAGACACATTATACTGTGTTGTATTAATTTAAACAAATTGGTTTGGAAATTGATTTAATTAAACTGATTGAAGTAGGTACCTATTGTTCTGTGGGTACCCTGGGATTGCTGCAAAACAATCCACCCTGGATCCCAAGGTAATTTAACTCAGTACACAAAATGTGCAAGTTTGAACCAGTGTAAATGTGTCGCGTCCAGGCCCTAAATAAATGAAAGATCTTATAATTAATTAAAATATTATCTTATACTAGTGAAAAAATGTCCATTAAAATGTTTAATGGTCCCTCATCTTTTAAACTAAATCATAGTTGGGACCAATGTAATTAAATGAGTAGAAGCAGATTGGGGTTCTTATCCCTGGATAGAAACACAAGATAATTAACCATTAGAACAAGCATCTAAGAGAAGTAGTAGATTCTCCATGTCTTGGAGTGTTCATTTCGAGACTCAGTGCCTTTTAGGGAGCTCTGGTTTAGTCATCCCTGGAGATAATGGCTACAATACAGGGGCAAAGAGGTGAAAAGTAATGATCTATAGAAATCTGATCAGATGACTGAACAGTATCTTTTGACTCTGAAACCTTTGAAGCTATGAGTGTGTGAATGTTGCTTTTTTTCACCCCTTTTGGATGTATATGAAACAACACTGATTACATAGTTGTACTATATAAATGTATTGAGAGACCTTTGTTGGAACGATGGTAAAAATATATTAAAAAAACAAAACCTTAATTTCTTGGCTCTTGTTTTTTTTTGATTAATTTAAGAAAACTATCTGCATTGAGAGAAACCCTTGTCCTGCACTAAAAAAAGCCATAACCTGAATTGTTACAGGAGATGCTGTTGTTTTTTCAAAATAATAACCTTGGAAACAAAGCGACTTCATATGTTAGTTTTTTCAAGGAAATGCAAAACCCAAACTATATCAAATAGACCATTTTGAAATGGGAAAAAGAGAAAAATAAAAATGTAAGGTAAAACAAAACCACAAATGCATGGTTTGGTCGGTCACAATAACTAGAAACACTATCTAATTGGTTCAGTAACAAATTAAAAATTCTAAATTGTCTGGATCAATCTAGTGCTAAGAATAAGCTGTACAGAAATGTAATGCCTATCTTTGAATACATGATTGAGAACTTTAAATCCTGTTTGACAAGTGTACTTATTATAAATGTAAGGAAAAGATTCATAAATGTACAGAAAACACACTGAATTATTTTTTCTTCATCTAGGTACTCCAATACAAAATGACCTGCAAGAATTTTATGCATTAATAGATTTTGTAAATCCTGGAATACTTGCTCCTTTGTCCACATTTAGAAAAATATATGAGGAACCCATTATTCAGTCCCGAGAGCCTTCAGCAACAAAGGTACAGTATTAAAAACAAGATTACAGGCATAGAATATAACTTTGGTATAGAATTAATCTTCTAGAAAATAAAATATAATATATGTTATGCCTATGCAGCCCAATCATTTTCTTTTTTCTTATGGCTGATGCAGATACAGAACAGCAACTATAATTTTACATTTAGGTGGTTGAGCCAGACAATTGCATTAGGAGCAGCAGAGTGTATCGCTGTGATATTTGTGGATTGGGCATTGAGTTGTTATATGTTCCATGGTCCGTTCTGGATGACCACAATTGCACACTGGAGAGTTTTTTTCATTTTCTATTTGTGCATCAAGTATCCACATCTCCCATGGTTTGTGTGGATACGCTTTAGAGTTGCCTTTCAACATCACGGGAATTCAAAGCTTGTCTTTGATTTCCAGCAGTGCAGTGCAATACCATGAGAGATACCCAAGCTAACTCAAATTCCTAAAGCTGTAGAACTATGTTTTTCTGATGCACTTCACAAGCTAATATACCCTGCCAAAAAGAGTATCTCTGTACAATCCTGTGTTGTGCCATGTAGACATACTCTTAAACTGTTTTTCTTCACTAATGCATAAACTGAGGCTGGGATTTTCAAAAGTACCTCATTTTCTGTGTCTCCTTCTAAAATCCCCATCCCAGACACATCACATATGGGGGTCTCTGTTTTCACTGTGTGTGTCCTTTTGTGGCTGTACTGTCCAACTCCAATTCATTTTTTCCCTTCTGGAATGTAGACAGGGGGCACCAAATTAACTCATAGAAGTTGATATTTTAATTTGGCTGAGGCCTGCAGCAGCAACAAAATTTTCAGCTTCTTATTTGAA